AATGTAAGTCTAAACACAGTGGCACCTAGTCAAACGCTCCAGAATTTACCATTACTACTTATGCTACTCAGTGTCAAAACACAAAATAACTTCCATCTAATGTTAGCTGAAGGCAACCACTTTTATAATACTTCTCTATATTGTTTCTATTTCATCTTTAAAGCTCAGCTGGTCCTTTTGCTGTTCCACTTTACAAGTCTGGTGCAATCCTGTTCTTTAATGCTGAGGTTTGGTTTCATTTACCACACACTACTGCAGGGAAATCAGCACTTCATCCCCCCCCACCCCAGACAGAAACATGCTGATGTAGCTGAATCATTCATGTGAGGCAAAATGGTCCTTAAACACACACTAGCTGTGGCAGGTGCAAGGGAGTATGGACTGTGGATGTGGGTCTTCTTTGTCCAGCCATTCCTAAAGAGCAGCATCAGGCATAAGAGAGAGGAAGAGCTGCATTTCTTTTACCTCTCCACAAAGGGGAGGAAGAGTTTTGTCAGAAAGAGAAGATAACCTGCAATGTGGAAATCTGCTATAATTTACTATGTCCTCTCCATTTCTGTCTCAAGTACATAAAGGTGCACGATGTCAGATGAGCAGAATTTGTCAAAATATCATGATCTGCAGCAGAACTGAATATGTTAGCTCAGTTTACTCTTCTTGTACAGGAGAACTTACTGCTGTATTTCTTCAGAAAATTCTTCTTTATTTCTGCTACTTCAGAATACAAGTTCCTGCAAACACTGGGAAAAAAAGATCAACTACATTTATCTAAGCAAGTGGGACTAAGATGTGTTTATACCTAAAATTGGAACCATACAGCAGCTGCAAGGAAGGGAAAATTCTCAGTTACACCCTCTCCACTGCTCCACAAGCCCTTGCAGAGATGGTTCTAACATGTTTGCTGCACTGTAAATGCCACAAACCCACCTAATCTGCAGCAAAACACATGACCTATCCATAAGTATATGTCACTACAGCAAATCAAGCTGCATTTGCAAGGGAAATTATAACAAATGTTATATGTTCAAAATTATTGTCTCTATGGGAAAGATGATACACTGAAGTGATTTCCAAACAAGATAAAGACTGTCCAGCTGATTTTTCAGTAAAAAAAACCACTCTAATTCTGCACATAGGCAGAGGGCTTAAAAGAATCAAAATTTTAAATTGAGAGCTGGCAGGTGCAAGCCTTAGCACAATTCCCTACATACAGAATCACACATATGGCTATTTTTAGAGCATGAGAGATTGTGGCTTTGCATGCCCTTCTTGAAAAGAAACCCCAAACCACAACATTTCCAAATTTAGCACTGTGTTAAGAAATTAAGCAAATAGGGGCATGCATAAAAAGGCTAATACAGGTATCCCATGGCACCTTAGAATCTAAATGCTGTGGTTTGGCCATCTTAAATGAACTATCTTGTTGTGCTTCGAGGTACATTTTATATATTTAATGATTGTTGAGCTTTGCAGCAGGATTAGAGCATTAGTGAGAAGGTCTGCATAAATGTTAATACTTGAAAGCTTATGCAATTGACATATAATGCCTAGAGAGATCATATTGAGTATGTGCAATCAAAAGACTGAAAACATCTCTCCAGAATGTTTTCTAGATAATTCAGACCTGCTTAAAGTATAGGTCATGGTTCATCTGCATGTTATCTCTTAGCTTTCATTGAACACATCCACCCTCACCTCTCCCCTACAGTAGCTCCCCATCAGTAATACATGCGGGTTATGCTGGTGCAGCAGGGAAGATCTATGCACAATAAAGAGGTCTTGGAGGATGCAGTTTGTATGTAGTTCACAGATCTTGTAGGATGTATGAAACTTTCATAGTCTTAGGAAGAAAAAGAGGTATAGAACTGCTGGGTACAACTCATTTACCACTCCTTTCAAAAGCACTGAGGCATTTGCCAGGGCACAGATGAATGCTCCAATCTTCATACCCAAGGGAAGGGATATAGCTTAATGTACCTTGCTGACTTCACAGAACAGACTGGGAAGCCTCAGCTGCCAGGGGAATGAAAAGTAGATTTGAAGGACTGAAAAGAACCAAATGAAAACACAGACACACACACACACACACAAAACCCAAACAACCCCCTCAAAACAAACAAACAAACAAACAAATAGGAAAAATAGTTTTGCAGTTTAGAGACATTAAATATTGTAGCCCACCCTTCAAATGTATGTGTAGAAAATGGAGGAATTGACACAACTTTATCCTTTTGTTCCCAGAAACAAATTGCTGCTGTGGCTTAGAGAAATAGGACTTTGTCCTAAGTCTATGATTATTTATTTAGCTTTGAATCTTGTAAATGTCAGCATGTTTACTCTGTGCTCCTGGAAAAACCACACCGACTCTTCTTCCTTCAGATATTTTGCTCCCTACAGAATATCACGTGATTAACATCAGGTAATGTAGGAGCCTGAGATCTGGGACCCATAGAAAATCCCCATGGGGACTGGAAGGGCCTGGTTTCTCTAGCCAGGGCCCATTCCACAGCATCAAGCACCTCCATCCTTGGGCTGAGTTAAGCCAGGTACTCAACATGCAGGGTGAGGTCAAGGGCATCCATGGCTGGAGATGTCAGTGGTGGAGCAGGAGAACAGCTGTCCTAAGCATAATTCAGGAAGGGCATGGGAACCAAAACTAAATGTGGGCAGCCTCAGGTGATGCTGGTCAGGGCCATTAAGGTGGGCAGCAACAAAACTAATCTCCCAGAAGGGCTTAGCAAAGGCAACTCCTTCCCTTGATCTATACTGATAAAGGGTATCTGGTGGGATCAGATGAGTAAATGTATTAACACAAGTGAAATTATTAGATCAATCAAAAGAAGGTCATTGCCTAAATTAAGAATTTCTTCTTCAGAAATGTTCTACTCTCACCATGTTACACTTGCATATGGTAAGACAGTTACTATGCATACACATTCCATAATATGATGCTTTTTTAGTTATCTCTCATGTTTGCCTAATACTGGTCAGGGATAAAGTCCCAGTCTGAGCTGTGTCCATAGAAAGATAATCATTCAGGCAGAAATAATGAGGGAAAAAAACCCCTCGTTATAGATCTGACCTCTCATGTACTTAGGAAGCTAATTGCAATCAATGGCTTCAGCTACACACAATTTACTACAACATGTCACGTCTGGCCCATGAAGCAAGCAAATCTGATCCCTGGCCATTACTCTTCACACACCACTTTAAGTGATAGAGTCACATTCTCCACAGGTTAGGCCTCTGTGATTTCATACGGAATTACATTTAAAGTTACAGAAAGGGCATTTACTGCCAGCAAAACTTCCAACAAGCTACAAAACGCAGCAGTTTCTGCAGAATACAATGCAAAATGAGATTTCTCTTGCAGTGATGAAAAGAGATAAGGAGAAATGCACCAGGAGTGGGTGTTGTTTGTTTATTTTTGGTTTGTTTGTTTAGTATTTTTGCAGAGATACACAGTTCTGAGAAGCAGGGATCATATCCTGCCCCTGTATTTGTGGAAACCTGAATGGCTGAACACATTATGAAGGCTGTGTTTAGCTGGACTCTAAGCAAGGGATATTCAGTAGGATTTTGGGGTTTTGGGGTTTCTTTTCCCAGAGGTTTTCAACAGAATGTATTATTTTGCTTAAAGTTCCTAATAAAATTAAATCACTGAAACTTGCATGCATAAGAAAATGCAGCTGGGCAATGCTGTATCTACAATTTGGCTTTGTTCACATTGCACCACTATATGTATATCCCAGCCTTAGAGAAACAAAGAACAGGTTAGTACAGTGCAACATGGACCTATGAAATTCTCCTAACAAAACCATTAACTCTGCCATAATGTCCAAGCAAAAAGTATATTTGTGGCCCAAAGCTTGTGTCAGACATAAGGGTGCTACAGTTTTAACAGCAAACAAGAAAAAATAAAAAAGAATGGAAAATAGGCACAAACCTGCCTGGGTTAAAAGTAATCTCCTTAGAGATGGGAATGAGACAGGCTGAGTTGAATTATGGTAAATTGTTCAGTTTCAAGGATCTTCGTTTAAGAACAAAGAGCACCAGCCATATGTAGAGAGTAGTATTAGACTTCAAGACAAAACATTCTGATCTTACAGTGCAGTTACAGAGTAGGGGTTTTTTTTATTTAAATAAGAGGATTGCAATGAAGTGATTGAAATAATCCCAAGAGAAACCTTGGCCTGCTGATGTTGACTGTTGACTTCAGCAAGACAGTGACCCTCAGTCCAGGCATGGTGACTCTGACAGCCAAGGAAGTGACCCTCAGTCCAGGCACGGTGACTCAACAAAACCTTTTGCTGCACCGGGAGACAAAAGAACCAGAAAACCACGTCTTTGCTGCCCGCCCTCCCCTCTCTCTCGGGCAGCTTTGGCTCCTCCGTGCCACCACACAGATGTTTCAGCCCAACCCAGAGGGCTCGATCAACCCTCGGGAGGCCTTTGCCGGGTGGGAGATCGGAGGGTGATTTGGGGGTCTCCCCCCAGGCGAGGGGGTGGAGGGTGGTTTGGGGAGCTCCCCCAGGTGAGGGGGTCGGTGGGTGGTTTGGGGGGCTCCCCCCAGCTGAGGACTCGGGGGGTGGTTTAGGGGGCTCCCCTCGGCCGGGACCCCACGGAGAGCCCGCGGGGCGCTCCCTGCCCTTGCCGCTGTCCGCGCCTGTGGTGCTGAACCGGCGGAGCCCGGCCAAGGCCGTCTCGTTTCCTCCGGGACGAACTGCGGGATTAAGGCTGCAGTAATCGGGGCCGGATTAACTCCCTGGAAACCGGCAGCAATCTGAGCAGCTGCAAATGTCCCCCAAACCAGGACATGGGGCGGGGTGATGAAGTGGAGGCGGGGGAAAAGAAGAGGGGAAAAGACATCAACCGCCAGATGCTACGCCGTGATTAATGGGAGGGAAAATAAATAATCAAGTATCTCATCCGCTGCTTTTGGGAAGGGCTGGGCTGGCTGGGATCCGGCAGCCCCTCCTCTTCCTTCTCCCTCCTCCTCTTCCTCTCCCTCGCTCCCGGCCAGCCGCCTTTCCTCGGAGGGGGCGAGACGCGCGCAGAGCCCACAGGCCCCTCCGGCCGCAAGAGATGGGCGACATCCCCGGACTCGTGAAAATCAGCGTCTCCCTCAAAATCCAGCCCAACGACGGGGCCGTGTATTTCAAGGTGGACGGGCAGCGCTTCGGTCAGAACCGCACCATCAAGCTGCTGACCGGGGCCAAGTACAAAATCGAGGTGTCCCTCCGACCCGGCACCGTCCAGGCCACGTAAGTGAGGCGGTTCTCCTCAGGGCGGCTCCCACGGCCCTCCTCTCCCTCCCTGCTGCTTTATTTTTAGACGTTTAATGTTTTTTCCTGGCAGGCTGTCAGCGCGGGGTTTCCGTGATTTCTCCCTCCCCGCCCTTTTACTTTGGTGGCCCCGTTTCTGAGTTCCTCGCCAGCTGTTCCCTGTGCTCCGCCTGGCTGGCCTGGGGGGGGGCACGTTTGGGAATCGCTGCCTTCCCTCTCCCTCCCCACCTTCTCCCGGAGATTTTTCAAGCCCAGCTTCTTTTCTCCTTCCTTCCTCGCGGCTTTCGCTGGAGGAAGAAGTCCCTCCTACACAATGCCCAAGCCTCGCTGCGGCGTGGCAAAGCAGAGACAGGGACCAGATGGGGAACCAGCTCTGGGTGGAGGGGCGGCCCCGCCGAAGAGATTCGACTAACCTCTCCCGATCCATTCGAAATCAGATCCCGCCTGCCACTCCTTTCTACTCCTTCCCTGGGTGACTGCAGAGCCCTGGCATATTTCAGGAGCCCCAATGAGTCAGCAGCACATGCAGGTCTGCTAAAATGCCTGAAGCTTTTTCCCAGTACAGAGGCTACCAGCAGTACCAAGCTGCAAACCCACGTGCTGGCTTCAAGCTACCAAGGAAGGGGAATTCAGGGCTGTGAAAGGCTGGATCTTGTCTTTTTGTAGGACCATGGGCATCGGCGGTGTTAATGTCCCACTGGAAGAAAAATCACGTGATGCACAAGTAGCCTCTTACACAGGGATCTATGACACCGAGGGGGTGCCCCATACCAAAAGTGGGGAGAGACAGCCCATCCAAGTCAACATGCAGGTATGTGGTTCCCCAAGCCTGGCATGAGAGGATGAGGGAGGGCAGCAGGGGGTTGACTCCCAGAGAGAGTGTGGTGAAATATTCCAGGGCAAAGCCTAGTTGCAGCTACTGCCTTCCTCTTTGCTTTGTGTCACTAAGGTTGCTGGCCAGAACATAGCTGGAAAATACAAATCCTGCTGCCTTCTCTCCCAAGAAAACAGCAAGGGCCAGGAGGAAGTATAAGGTTTTCTAGAGACCTGCAAAACCCTTTGGGGTGCTCCAGCAGAAAGAATTGTGTGCGGAACATCCCACCCCTTCTATAGGACATACTATACATATCAGGCAGCTCCCACTGAGGTTCTTGGCTAGAGATCCAATCCCTTGGCATACGGGAACCCTCTTTTGCCAGGTAGCACCATTTTTTTTGGCACAGAGCATGCCTCAAGCACAAGGGGTGACTGCTCTCCCCTTTAATCTGTCACCTTCAGCATGCCTGAGGACTTGCTAGAGACTAGAAGCATGCAGGAGAACACCCAAGGCTGTCTTCTCTCTTTTCCCATATGTTTCCATTATCTGCACCCACAAACTTAAATTCATATTTAAGTGGCTCCTCACCCCAGTCTTAAAGAGAGGCTTCATGGCCCCAAAGTGAGATGACAAAAGCTCCAGCCCACAAGGCAGCAGAGATAACAGAAAACATGAAGACAGGCAGATTTCCACAGCACTCTTTGGGTGGTATGCTCAGTTTTGGCGTTTTTTTTTCTTCTCCTGATTATAGTTGTGAAGGATTCCTGCTGTTTATTCCATGTCTTCTCTACCAAAAAAAAAGGAATCAAGGCAGTAAGCCATCTTCATCTGAAGCTCTCTTAAGAGTCTGTTCCAGCTTAAACAAGCCCACCAAATTTCAGAATTTTATGACGTTTTCTTACTGCACACAAGATTTCACATTGCTCTTCAGTATTTTTTTTCTGGAATCATAGTTCAGTATGGTAATCCTCTTCTGAATAAGAACTGTAACATCTCCATTTGGTGTTTCTAATAATTACAATGTGCCAAACTTAATTTTGGAGATCCACATCACATTACTATTTCATAATCGTAGGTTATTAAGACTAATATGGAGTATTATGTTAATCACTTTTATATACAGCCACCACCCAGGAAAACCAAACATAGTATTATTTCACAAAAAGCTGAACATAGCTGCTGGATGCTACTGTTGATCATTGTAGTTATATTTCACCTTACACCAGGAGGAGAAAGGACAGCATTCCCAAAACACCATCTGCTTTGACTCAGGCATCCCTGTTTTGCTGGTTACTTTTACCCTTAAGTGCAGCACTGATGTGAACTCTGAAAATCTAGAAATTTAACTTTTCCTTTGGAGAAAACCAAGTCAAATCACAGATGAAATATAAGGAGGTTCTGACTTTCAGTGACAAGCTCTGACATGGTTTGTTGCAGCATCAGAATGAGAAGCCACAATATTTGCCCAAAGAGCTGCTTTTACAGATCAGATCCTGGGATATTAACTATGAAGCTAATAGGATTTTCAAGCATTAAGCAAGTCTTTAATTCCTTTTAGGAACTGATCTTGATAGATAGGTTCATCAGTACAGACTTAGATACCCACAAATGATACTTTTAAGTATTAAATATAGACAACTCAACAGGGATTTATATGTTTAACTCATCATTTAGCTGCTTAGCTAAATGGAGCTGTAATAGATTTAGGGAACAAGCCTCAGATACCCCAGTTTGAAAACTGCTTTGGATACCTACTTCCTCAACCTTCAAAACTGAGCTTATTGCAGAGAGCTTTAGATTTTCCTATTTCCTTCAACTATGAGGAACTTCTGCCTCCACTTCCTTTTCTAAAACAGACAGAATCCTGATGCATCCTATGGTGATAAGAACACTATTTTAGGCATAAAAACTGAATTCACATTAGAAATAGATTGTGAGATCAGTCCTGCAATCAAAAACAAGTCTGGAATTGCCAATCTAGTGTCTGAATGACTTAAGGTCCATTAAGATCCATAAGAACTTCTTTCCTATCTGCTTTGAAACTTTTAACAAATAATTCTTGTGTTGCTGTTTTAACTGGCTAGTTAAATCTGACTCATGATAGCCAGAGTTTATACATGTTGAACAGCAATCCTGTTTCTGAATTCCAGAATCTGATTATATGTTTCTGTTACCTGATTGGTCAATCATGCAGACTATCCAGAAACTGCTAAACTGTCTAGCAAATGGTGTAAACTAAGTTAGAAGCCTGCCTTTGGGCCTCATTTTATTCTTGATCAGACTAGTCTAAGATTGAATAAAGAAGCTAGAACTGTATTCACAGTAATAACTATAAAATCATCTCAGCATGCAAATGTAGAGGGAGTGATTAAATAACTATTTACTCCTACAGCACCAGATGATAAAGAAGAGCAGACAAGGAAACATACTTAATATGAAGCCTGACCTGCAAAGAGCAGGGCTATTCTCCCTCCCTGGGGATGCCCATATATAAGCTCAGTGGAGCAGCCGGGATTCAGCTGCAGGAGCCATGGGAATTCAGGGGAGCTCTAAGGATGTAGAATGTTCATTATGCCACAGAGCTTCTGCATGTGCTAAGTACCAGGCTGAGGGAGGCACATGGTAGTAGAAAAGCTCTGCAATTAATTTTTTCCTTCTCCTGAAAAACCAGAGCAGTCAAACTACTCAGGGTAGCTCAGCAAACTGGGTCATTAAGGAAAAGTAAATTTGCTTTCTTCATCTATCTTTTTGAAATTCAGATCCTTCATACATTAATGAAATGAAATTATGCTCTTGTGTCATATCACCTTCTAAAAATGTTACTAGAAATGCCTTTTCTTCCTTAGTTTCCACAGTGAGGGTGCCCGATTCTCCTCTCTGACAAGTTTTGTGGACTGTGCACAGTAATATCCAATGTGCTTAACCTTTACTGTCTTGCATTATGAGTGTAACGGGACCACTATCAAAGATGATTGATTAAAAAAAAGTCCTTAATTAAGGTTTTAGTTACTGGGAGAGATAAAATAGCCTGTACATCTGATCCTTTCTAGTCAAAGGAAGTGGCAGAAATGTTTCTGTTACTCCTTCAAGGTAACACTTGTAACTGGAGCCGAATAAAACCCCTCCACTTACAGCATACAGCAGCTTCTGCTATTGTCAAGGCTAAATTTAACTTACCAGGGTGGGCGGAGAGAAGGTTTAAAGTAATGTCTGTTACACAGCAGCACCTTACAAACCACATTTTTAATTTCAAAAAAACAATGACAAATGTGTCCTGAAAAATCTGGATACAGAAGACTCTGCTTGTAAATCGGGAACAATTTCTCTGTAAAAGGGCTTTCATACTGACTTTGCAAGTGTGATTATAGCAGGCAGGTGATCAAAGATCAGCTCCCAGGCACATGATAGGAATGGAAAACAGTCAAGTGAAGAAGCTGTCATTAAAGTGAGTGATGGAAATACTGAAAGGGAAAAAATACTGAAGAATAGTGCCATTCAGTAGCACTTAATTCACTATCTAGTATCTTCTAACAACATAACACAATCAACAAGCCATACTGGCTTAAGGCCAATGGCAATACATACAGGCTTCACATCCACACTTGAGATTCTCTGCAATGTCTCAAGGCATAGGAACTCAATTTTTCCATTACCATTAAAACTGAAATCATAATTTATGCTTGAAAGCTTCACTGAGGTTTTTCTGATGTTGTACAGGTGTCTAGGAGTGACTTAAAGAAAATAAAAACAACAAACAACTTTATTTTACAGAACTTTTTTATTATAGCCATAGAACTTTTATTTCTCATGAGGCCACACTTTTATTTCTCATGAATGAGGCCACAGTCTCATTCACTTCAAAGCTGCATGCACAGACAATTTAAAGTCAATTCTCACTTCTTCACTGTTTTAGACACTTATCTGCTAAACAGGCAGATTATCTTTTTATTAGCTCCTATTACTCAGCTGCACTATCACAGTCCAACTAACAGTTACAGATATGCACACAGAAATTCTCTTGCTCCAGTCTCATTTAAAATGTGGAATAAAATCCCAGGAAAGTAGTAAGTGGTGTGCAAGAGCAGCACATCTCAGTCAATACACTACAAATACAAGACTCCAAAATGCAGATACATTAAAAGTTTCAGACTGAGGAAAAGAAGAATCTTCCCAATCCCAACTGCAGTCACTAGGTATGGTATAGAGGTAAAGTGATAGTCTGTATCACTGCAGATCACTACTACATGATCTACAGTATATACAAGCTGTGTCATCTTAAGAAAGATTATGGTTTTGATTCTTGTTGTTAGTAACGTTTATCCATGTGGCAACTTGAATATTTTTACTCCCTCACCTATCCCAGATGTGAGTGCAAGAGGACAGTACATGCAGGATCTGATCCTTTATGTAGTATGTATGGCTAAACATAAAAGACTTTCTGATTGCTAGAGCAGGTTTTACAGGTCTTCAATTTATTGATCTGAGGAACAATGATCCTTATACCAGGTGTTTTATGTTCTGCAGCTTCATAAGTGTTATTTCTCAGGATGAGAGAGAAACCAACAAAATAATTAGCTCACTAACACTGGTATTCCTTCTTCCTCACAGTTTAATGACATTGGAGTTTTTGAGACAGTCTGGCAAGTCAAATTCTACAACTACCACAAACGGGATCATTGCCAGTGGGGAAACAGCTTTGGCAGTATTGAGTACGAATGCAAACCAAATGAAACACGCAGTCTCATGTGGATCAATAAAGAGACCTTCCACTGAAGAGATGGGAAACCAATACGGCTGGACAATCTCCCTAAAAAAAAATCTACCTTTTTAAACCAGCAAGAAGCCTTAATAAAGGCATACTGTAACACTGCTTTGTCCATAAGGTTCCAGCAACTATATTGTATATACAGGTGGTGCCACTAAAATATTTGCCTATTACTGTATTTTAAGTTTACCATGGCATCTGCAACATTCTTTATCTGTCGCCCTGAGAATACTGAAAGGTTCATGGTAAAGGATTATCTGATAGCTTGGTAGGAAATCATATCATAATACTGTTGTAAGTATTTGGATTATTCTGACTAGATGTAACAACTTTTGTGAACTGTTTTGCTTCATTGCTTAGAATTTGGATTAACATCACATTGGTGATTTCTGTATTTACATTTGTGCTTGCTCCAAAATCGGTGTGTTCCTTCAAGCATTTGGTTGTACTGTCTTCCCAGTGGACACCAAAAATTAAAAATATGGTTACTTGTAGGTTTAGCTAAATGGCAGCTAGTGCACTGTTGGTATTATGCTTTCATACCAAGGGATTTGGGAACTCATTCTCCCTTTTGTTAAGTGCTGTAAGATATTCTGTGAAGTTTGCTAATTTACCAAATCTCCTAAAGAGGATTATTTTTTGTTAAGTTTTCCAGTCTTTGAAATAGCATTAGGAAATGGTATAAAACATGATGAAGGAAAAGCAATAAATCCATTGTGTTATCCAAGACATCTAACATCAACATGGCTAAGACCTATTTTAAGATCATATAGTATCCTTGAGAGATACAGCAGCCATACCTAATTTATTTCCTACAGTAAGTGCTCTGATATTGAACTCCATTTTTATTTTAATGGCACATTGATGAGATTAGTTAAATCTTACAAATCAACATTTTCAAGCCTGACCACTGTATTTATTGACAAGATTTCTGACCAACAAGCACTCAGTAGTGTGAAGGTGCAGATCCCAGGACATGTTTATACATGCACTGCAGTCTTTCAAATAAAGATAAGCATGCAAGCATTTGCATAGTTATAACTAAAGGTGCTTCATAAACACTAGATCAGTGTTTAACACAAACAGACAACACAAAACAGATGTATCTTTTATTTCTGTAAAGACAGGGAAGGAAGGAAACAACTACACTTGTCCTGTCCCCAGCTTGGGTTGAAGTAAGCCGTCAGTTCCTGCATATCTGTTATTCCCTTTGTGAATAATTTGTAAATTGTATATGTAAATGGTAAACATGACTTTTGATCTTTGTAATAAAGGATGTAAACAATTTCTTCTCTTCTATGGCCATCTAAATGAGCTGAAAACATTGTATTTAAAGAAGCAGTGGTTTTAGAGAATCAGACAGTAGATCGTATGCAGCCAGTGCTTTCTGAGAATGCAGTCCAAAGCACCTTCTGTTCTTCACTCAAAGCTACTGTTTCTAGGAAACACAGATCCAGTGTGCCAAAATGCAGATGGTTAATGTGATAACACTCAGAAGAGCTTATTAATATGAAGTTAGTTTCAGTAATATAGTGTGAAAAGTAAAGACTTAGGACAGAATTTAATTAGCAAAGAAATATTTTCCACTGAGTTATTAATCAAAAGGCTTTACTAGTTTTCTAGCTTTACTAGATTTCTACAGCCAAAAGAACTGACAGTGGCACTGATGTAATCCAGCTGTGTAACGGTGAGCTAGTCAGCTGCATCTCCATTCTAAGGCAACATTATATGGGCAAATTTTACTGAAATGAAAATCTAGAAATAGTCTTCTCCATTAACTTCTTTCCTAGACTTTTCTTAGCAAGGATTCTTCAAAATGAGAAAACTGACCAAATTGAAATCTGCACTTCAGGCAGAAGTACTACTGCCAGAATTTTAGCAGAAGTTTCCAGATAACATGCTTTAATTATTCTAGACTTCCAGCTGTGAATCAGTTCTGTTTCTACATTGTTAGAAAAGTGATTTTATTCTCCAATAATTTGCATACTTTGGTTCATTTTGTTTCTACATATGAACACATATGTACACTGGCACACAATACATGACACATAAATTCACAGACTTCTGTCCTAGTAAAAAATATGTAAGATCCACAGTGTCCTAGCTCTCCAGCATTTAAAAAATGCTGCAATGAATAAATCCAGCCAATCCTGGCACAGGAGGATTGTTATTCTCAGCCAGCTGGAAGTATACTCTTCCTAAGGCAAATTTTCATGCCCACATTAATGCCAAATAGGGAATATTTTCACTTACAACCTAGCAGGTCCTGTAGCAATTCAGTTGAGAGGATGCTCAAGAAAAAGGCTGCAGATGGAGTGAGTTGCTTTTAAAAGAAAGGAGAGATCAGCAAGAGCAACTGTTGTACAGGTCCCATATTCTAAGACTGAACATTGCTGCCGAGGATTGCAGCGCCCTTTTCATAGACAGCAGCAGGGATAGAAAGGATGAGAACTGGTTAATCACTTCTCTGTGGAAGATGTAAATGGCATTTATCAGCTCTTATGTCCTCCCCTGGGTGAGGTTTAAGCATACAGAAATATGATTTGCATTATTCTTAAATAGAAGATTATTCATGTGATGTTGGTTGAGTATCCATACCACCAGCTCTGATACTCCACACATGTAAAGCAAAATAGTCCCATCAACTTCCTCTTGCTCATCAAGTGCTTTGCTAACAAAATAAACATTTGCTCCTAGTAAAGGAGACCCAAGATTTCAGCCATTTCCTGAAAGTAATGTTTTTCATTGCTTTCATCCAGGACAACTCTGTTGAATATTCATAGAATTTGAGTCACTACAAAACTGCTGCTGTGACAGTTTGATGCATTATTCAGTCAGCAGCATTTAAATCTCCAGACAAGTTTGTTCTTTACACAGCTTTTTCTAATTAATATTTCCATTTTTATACAGAACGCAGTACTGTATATACAGAACTCAGTACTATAATTCAGGACACAGTACACTAGGATCAAATATATATGTCAGAAAATGCTGACAATGTGCCAATCCAGCTGAAACCAGAAAGCACTCGTAGCTGGAGTTTTTATAAATAAGAGACTTCAAGATATTTGTCATGAAATGTCCAGCTGTCATTTTCATAAGAAAAATGAAATGAACATTCCAAATCTTTGTGTCACTTTTTCATCTATATTTAGAGGTAGCAGATAGCTCTTTGATCCTGCTGAGTAACAGGATTCAAAAGCAAGTTATTAGTCATGACTATTACAGTAGTGATCCTGCATAGGGCTTTGTATTAGATCATTAGATTTTGCACAACACTTTGTGTTTAGTGCAGCTACTACAGACTTTGGTATCTCCTACAATCTGACAGTGTATGAAACAGAAGTAATACACCTCAAGTCTCAATGCTCTACTTTCACATGGTAAAGAGGTTTTACTGGCTTCAGCTGAAGCTCTGTCCATTGGTTTGCAAATGCAGTGACCCTTACTGATTCCAGACTAGCAAAGAATCAGAGGACCTCATTTATATAATTCTTTGTATAAAAGATGTGAACAGAACTTCTGTACAATAAAGGTGTAAGTTTTGTAATACAAGGCTTTTGCATGCCAGGAGAGGTTCTTTTTTCACTTGGTTAAGAGCACTGCCCTCACTTGCTATGTAAAATTTTAATGTATGTGCAGTGTGCTCCATTCTTCTAAAGCCTCATTCAAAGCTTTGATTAAATAAGGATGTGGCATGTTGTAAATGCTAACCACTTTCTGAGATCTGAAACAAATGCAATGACTTTCAAAATTCAAAGCAGTGAGCATCGCTTTAATAGCTACGTCAACCCTGAAGCACAAAGCAGCAGAAAAACAAGTCCTTCAACATTCATGTTTTCCCTTAACTCTACAAAGCTCACAAGCAATGACTTGCAAAGTCCTCTTTAGTGTAGCTGATCCAGACCTTTGGCCAGGAGAGACACCCACTCCTGCCCATAGGCCTTCCCTGCTGCATGCTTGGCAGCTGTCACCAGCATTTCTTGGACTGCTTCCTTTTCCCCCTCTCTCTGATAGCAAGATTTAAGGCTTCAAATCCCTATGAGCCTTGGCTTTCAGCATTAGGAAGACAAGGTGGCATCAAGCTAGGGAGAGACAAACCAGTTCTCTCTGCATTGTTTCTCTGTGACTACTGTAAGGTTTTGTGAGTTATCCCACTGCAGTCATTGGAGTTTGTTACCTTTTGACACACAGTGAATTGCACTATGAGCACATAGACAAACAGATCTCCATTGGAGACATGGCTTAAAAGCAATGACAGACAGCCTCTCTTTTTAGCATTAATATGCTGAAAAATATTAAATTTTAAGAAACAATTCATGGCAGCATGTCTGCATTGACCAGGTGCAAGGTTCTGATATTCTGCTTGTCCTCACTCAGACAAACTTGAGTCTTGATGCTGCAATCCATGTACCAGTGCTTTGCATGCTCTCTGTAACACCTTTGTTTCCTTCCCCCAGAGAACAGGCACTCCTACTTCCTTTATTCCAATAGTGAGGAACAGCCTGGTATCCCATCTAGGATCTGCAGCCTTTGAACAATCCTGGGAGAAGAAATTGCAAACTATTAGTGCATGATGATGAAGGCAAGAACTACATGACTGTCCTGATGGTTAACTGGACCTTCTGCTCATTCTCAGCACAGTAAAGACAAGGTTGGGAGCCCGCTGTTACAGGAGTGACTGTGACAACATTGTCAGTAATATCCACATGAAACTACAGTATATGTGCTACAGGGACCAAATGTTCTCAGAAGTTTGAACTGAATCTTTATGAGTTTAGTAACTTATAAAGAGGGTCTGCAAACAAGTGGCAGTAGTGCAATATCACAACATACATTCTTCTGATTGTGATGGATGGCATTCTCCTGCTCACTAAGTTGCTACGCCAACAGATTCACCTCAGGCACTTCCCACATTTCAGACTTACTGGAGAGAACAAGCTGTGGACTTACTGGAGAGAACAAGCTGTGGCCAATTCTGTGCATAGAATATATAGTCTGAGTTGGTGCCTTTTTTAAATTTGCTGCATGTTGGAGTTTTTAAATTAACTGTATAACTTTCACTTCTGGCTTCTGAGACATCTCCGGCTAAATACTATGCTACAGGTAAGCTGAGCAAATGTAGGAAACACCAGGGTATGAAAATACAACTGCAGTCATCCCTGTTCTGTATGGAAACTATATGACTGCCCTCCAAAGATTTGAAAAGCATTAAAACAAACAAATGAAAAAGTATCGTGCATCTACTCTGTTCAAATCTGGCAGCATTTTGTGTATCAGGAACAAGGCACTAGCCAGATATAAATGTGCTGGTTACACAATGAATTAAATTCACAATGTTTACACTGAGCTTTGCTTACCTTAAGGGGGTAGGAGGTAGATGGTTAAGAAAACAAAAGTCCCAAATGCACTACTGCTACAAAGTTCCACCAAAACATACAGAGTAAACGTGAAAGACAAATTTGCCCTAATATGCTAAAATGTGAATGAACTTCCCTTGCTTAAAACAGAACTGTAAGAATTTAGACCTAATCATTTTAATACAGATTAAGTATAACTTAAAGAAGTTGAGGAAACACTTCCAGGGAGGTTGTTGGCTATAAATACAGTGAAAAGATTTCCTCTACAGATCATTTACCCTGTCTTAGAAAATATATTTCTTTTTCTCCAGGAAGCAGGAACTAACATTTTGCACCTGGAAACAGGTACAGAATCAATTGTACAATGAACTTACAAGCTGGAAATTTTTTTGAAGGGTTGCATCTTTTTCTTTTAATAAAAGTAGCTATCAATTTTGACTTCTTTCTGCTTCAGCCCTGCAAATCCAGCAGCAGCCCTCAAACACAGCTAAGTAAGCAAAGAAGGAATGCTACCATATACTTAGCTCCAGAACTGAGAGATAATCCAAACAGCACAAGAAAGGGAGATTATTTGCCACCTTGCAGTCTGCCTATAGCCTTTATTCTTGGACAACCATGACTAGGACAGCTAAGTACACAATTTTTTCCTTATACTCCATTCCACAAATCCACGAGGAACCATGCCTTAATCAGAGACATCAGCTTCCGTCCAGATATCTAAAGGGAAAACATTGGAGGGGCGTGGGCTTGGAGTCATGGTACAAGAAAGAGACAGGAGAATCTCAGAGTGTGCTTTTCACCCACAGACATTGGGGGAAACAGTCACTAGAAGTCTCCATATGAAAATATAACACTAGCAGAGAACTCTCAAAAATCTCTTTTGGTAGTCTCCATCTTAGTCACCTTTAATACTTCTTCTCAGTTC